CTCTCTTGCGAGAGCGCTCGTGATGACAACCAAGATACTAATTCGTGACCGACTACGGGAAGCTGAATATCTACCCTGGTAAGCGGATACATTCTCATGGATTGCTATGTAGCTTTCCGTCGATTACGAGACCGACAGCAAGATCCAATATACTATTGCCAACGAGTTTAAAGAACGCACGATCCTGTGCATTGCACGTAGTTCGAGCAGACTTGTTGCTTTGCATGTGGCTTGAATCACATATGTGACCGTCTCTCCGGACTATCATTGGATATGACAGGATATGCGTGATGGATGCTGGGACGATTGCTGTACGTCCACATGTCTTTAAGTTGGCTTATTCAGTACTGACCATTTATTCAGGAATTCGATACTCCTGTTAATCTCTTGCGCCATGCCAGATGGTATATTCCGCGGAATGTGCGAACGATCTTCTATCACTCTTGATGACATTCTCTCTGCATCCAAGCATGCAGCGTAATTTGAGCGTAATGCCTCACACCTAGACTATAGACTACATACAGTTATTGCACATGAAATTTGAAGTGATATTGTATGCAAAGATTACATACTAAAGTACTAAAGGGTAATGAAATCCATAAAATACTATGTAGAGAGTCCATGAGACGAGAGACATGCGTGAGAACGTTAGCAGGTAAATGTGTAATACCGTATTAAATACCTGCTAACGTTCTCACGCATGTCTTTTGGACGCCCACCATCAATTAACGTCGGATTCAAGACTTCCCCTCCAGATCGCGGTTCTTTTCCTCTGGACCATGATGGTTTGGCTCGCTGTCTTCATCATGACACGACTAACTGATTATAATATGCAGGCGAGTGCAAGGAACAGATGATGCAATACATGGCTTGCTTGCGCAAGAATTCCAGTGAATCCACCCCATGCAGAGTAATGAGCAAACAATACCTTGATTGTCGAATGACCAAGTATGCCAACGTCTGTTTTTGTGCTCTCAATAGCTCACATTTGTTGCAGAGGACTGATGGAGCGTGATGAATGGAGGAATCTTGGACTAGTCAACCTTGAGGGAGATTCCGCCGAACCAACGCGCACTTCATCCTGAATGTATCTACACCTGCTCCACAAAACGAAATCCATGGAACATCGCAGACCTGACGAACATCTGACTGAGGCGTGAGTTGCAACGAGCTGCAGTAATGGTCTAAGCATAACCAGTTCCAGGTCTGAGTATCCCTATCAAATATTAGCACACGATCTTTATCTCCTGACCGTGGACTCTGGAGCGCTCGATGTATGAAACTAGCTTTTTCCATTGTCGTGACCCACTACGGCATGAAGCTACTTATATCGTATTGGCTGTTCATCACGCACCTTCCTCTTACCAACCAGTTCACCACCGGAACAATATTTTGATACCGCGGTCGTCTACTTGCATTCAATGGGTCGACGCACGTTACTATGAGTCGCAGAATGGCGCGTGCTACTCTAGTAACGAAACTGCAAAAGCAGCAGTGAATGATAGCCGGCAGGCCAGTGCCTTGCCTTGCCAGGAAGTGAACGTTGCAGCTGGCAGTGCCACCTGTTCAAATCGCTGGCAGCTGGAAAACATTGGGATCTTTTACTTGAACGTTCGTCTCGACACTGGTCGTTTTGAACGTTTATCCATGCCGAATGCCGTGGTGGGCAATTCGAGAGAAAGGAGAGATCTTATATGAATTATGGACTGGCTGAGGTGGAAAAACAGATCCATCTCCCTTCATCATGTGCATTATATTTGTCTATGCCCTCGTATTCACAGAGATTTCTCTGGTTTACGCATCACCATCGCAGGGTCCATTTCGAACTGTGTCCAACAATCACCAGTTTTACAATGTCCAGGTGCGTCAGACTAGTGCACTCAAGGTCATGGCTTGTACAAACCGTAACACAGGCTCATCGCGGAGGAAGAGGAAATGTTGTCGAGAGCACTCTACCGAGCTTTGCATGGTATAGTGGACGAGGTCGATGTTTGATTCACCTCAAGCGAATTCCCGTCACAGGGGCCTCATCGACGGCGCCACCACACTCGAACTAAACAACGGCATTACTACCAATCTATCACGGTGAGTAATGTGGCTCTGTTACTACTGCTCCATACTCTAATTGCCTTACCAGTATCAAAGTTTTGACTGGCGAACCCTGGTATCCATGAAGGTTTGTGTCTCATGTTCGTCCACTCTGCTTTTTTTGATCATCAGCTGAAGACATTGGATGATAAACTTATAACTTCTGCTCTTATCGATGAGTGAGTGAATTTCGAGCCAATACATTGCACGCCAACTGTCACCATTCAGGGACACTGCTTTTACGCCGCGTGGCTCAACCTCCCCGTGGCTGGCTGGCTTACGCCTTGAATCATTTCCCGGACCATCACTGTCCGAGCAGATAGCACAAGCCCCCCATGCTATACAAGCGGATATTTTATCTCCCACTGGAACATTCCTCATTTTCTCTTCGTCCCATGAGGGATCCTCTCACTTCACAACTCCAGAAATGATTAGCGAAGCTCACAGGTTCGGCATGAAAGTTGTACCTTGGACTGTGAGCACTTCTCATTTCTTCACAATAAACTATATTCACAAATCACCCATTGCAGGTGAATGGCTTGGACTGTGCCGAAGAGCTCTTCAAGGATGGTGCAGATGGAATTATTACGGATTGTAAGTTTCAGGTTACAACAAGTATTATTGATTGCTCATGCAATGCATATCAGACCCAAACGTTGTTAGGCGGTGGGCCAAACAACAAGGACTTCGGGTGGCGCCTAAATATCCCAGACAACGTGTCTTCTCCTGCTTATACCAGCACATGCGCTAGTGTTCTTGATGCGATGCACCGAAGAATAGATTTTCTCCATTCGTGTAACATAGCGATATCACATTCTCAGTATATGATTACCAGGCAGCTTAGATTTCATCGGCCACAAACTGAAAAACCATACAAATCAGGACATTACTAGCATGTAAATAAGACACGTACCATCTACGTTCTATTACACTCGAGACTTGTTAAAATTTGACACGAATACATCAAGAAATATGAAACTTCTGTTGGCCTATTGAGGGCTATTGCCCTACGTGCTGCATGCCGCCACACCGAGAACGCAAGTACATGTCTCCAGATCACACATTCGATCGGCAAGTTGTCTATACCACGACTAAGTATAAATAGTACAAGAGTACCGATCACCACATTAAATTTAAAGTGATGTTATATGCAAAGATTGCATACTAAAGGGTAATGAATTCCATAAAATACTATGTAGATCCATGAGACCCAAAAGCGAGATCAGCCTCTTAAGTCTCCGAGTCCAAACACCCCCAGCTTTGAGTTCATACCACCTGGAACTAAACTCGCCACTGCAGATATGATACTCTCATCTGGTATTTGTTGTTGTCGCAACACATCAAGAGTTTTGGCCGACAACTCATTGTGTGATTCGAAATCAATCTTCGAAGCGTCTGATGGAATGTACCACTCCTTGCTCCTAATAAGAGCTGGAACACTCTCGATATCATCATCCAACTCATCATGGAAGCAAAATTCGACGTTATACCATGCACACTTCATCAAGTTCCACCAAAGCCTGGTTAGGACAGTGCTAAAGCAAGATACGGCCTGTTCTGGTGGAGCAATACGGAGCAGAATTCCTGCGAGGTAGAAGAGACTAGTATGAGCTTCTTTGCTAGTGACGTTGATGGAGGACTATTGGTAAGGGGGAGGGGGAGAGGAAGGAGTGGGATTGCGAAGATGTTTAGCAAGATGACTGGAATACACAGGTGCGGCGCCTGTGATCTACTCTTCGATATAGCCATCCCGGACCAAGTGAGCGTGCCAGCCGGAGCTCTTTGCGAGAGTGAAGGGGGTAAGGTGACCTCGGCCGATGGGGTAGGCAAATCATATTGCTGCAAGCAACATGGCTGGGCAGAGCTCGGAAAGTACTGAGTCTCGTAAGGACTCGAGTCAGCTCCGGCAGCAGTGAACCACAAGGTCTTCATGTCAGGCGCTAGCTCTGTGTCTCTACTCCGACGCTCTTGTCCAGTGCATCGATCATGATCACTGGGTCCCACAGTCGACCCAGCTGACTTTCCCACTGCTGCGTGATATCCGCTGTATTCTTGAGCGAATTCGCGGTCTGAACTGCCTCTGCTAATGCCCCGGATCACGGTCAGCCAGGTCGCGCACGACCGCGGAGAAGTGACAACAATCTGCTTCTCGTTGACGGTCTTGGTCCTGGAAGTTGTGCATAAGCATGTCTGATAATTGAAATGCTGGAGCGGGGTATCCCAGGCGCAGTGACAGGAGTCCTGGCTCGTAGTCGGTAGTCCTCGCGCGTGTCGTAGTCTGTCCTCGATAGATAGAGCCGTGGCCTCCTGCTATAGAGGTCTGGCCTTGGTTCCCTTACAGTCCGTGCCCGTTCCAACGCGAAAACTGTAGATCCTGGGAATGCGGGATGGGACAAAGCAACCACAAAGACAAAGAAGCGGTGCCGGTTCCTTCCGAATACTTAAGTGTCGATCACCTGGCGCGGTCATCGATTACTGTCTTCCATGCTTTTTCGTCTGCCAACGATTTACTGATTAGTGATCTTATTACTGAAGTACTGAAATCCTGCAGAACATCAAAAGAAGATTATATTTTGTTTTTGAACAACATCCACAACACATTGTTGACAAAGGGTGGACGATACTAGTAAGTGCACGAAGCGGAGAATTGATAAGCACATTCTGAATTTTCGCGTTTAACACTCACTCACAGTATATAGGATCCAACCTGGCTGTACCTTTTCTCCATCCCTCGTATTGGCGTACCGGTATGCCAATTATCTTGCTTCCCTCTCCCAGCAGGCCATAGAAAGGCGCACTAGTGTTTGTGGTGAATCATAGTGTTTACTCCCATGAAGAACCGACTCACTGTTGAAACCGGTCACTTCATACTCGTCCTCTTCTGAAGATTCACCGCTCGCGTCAATTGAGCTGGCGGCTGGCTGGCGCCATTCTGAATGCGACGACCTAAACCAGTCTCTTCTACTGGTTAGCTTGTCGTTCTGTAAAATCTAGTTAGTTCCACATTCCATTCGTAATAGAAATGAGCTCACTTCTAGTTTGAGGATACCACGGCATTTTCCCCGGTGCTTGATCCAGAGTCCGGGGTAGTACCTGGAGCGTTTGTCAAGGCAGATGATTTTGCTGCATCCGCGGCACCGGACGGATGTGGGTTGTACATCGTCGGTGTATTTGTCATTCTCCAGGTCTTCTTTCCGCTCATCCTCCGTTTGTCTCCGCTTGCTAGAACTCCCGATGATGAAGTCATCGCGATTGCCGTTATGGACACTCCAGCTCCCGGGAGTAAGCTGTGCAAGGCTCGGCGCGTACTGTGAGCCCTGGGTGTCGGTGGGGAGACGTGAAGGGGAGAGCCCATGGAAGCGCCCTATACAGACCAGATAATGGTCATCAACGAGGCAGTTGACTGTGGGCCAGTCAGTGCCATCATCATACATGAAAACGGCCGGACACTCTGACCTGCCACAATGTATGGTGTAGGTGCAGGTGGGCGTTTTGTGTGTGGTGTGGTTCTGACTGGCGACACGGTCATTGTTTGTCGAGTACATGGCAGCTGAGGGACTGGTGGTTGATATTTGCATTTTATGTGCTGGAAAAAATGCTCTTCAGATGTAGACGAGGAAGTTGTTGCAGTGGCACGAAGTTTTATTTTCTTTTAAGGCCTGCCTCGGAGTTGCATTGTTCACCCTTGAATACACGTGGTATTTTTTTTTTGATTCCGACTTCTGTTTATTGGGACAAACGTACCTTATGGTGGACACTAACTAGTTTAAGGGGTACCTCTGCAACATTTGGACTCGCGAATACCCCAGCGTGAGGGTATCTCCCGGAGACGTGTCGTCCGTCAAAGATGGCGGACTGAGCTCCCTATCGCGCGTGTCTACGTCGTAAGGTACACACGCCACTCCAATGCAGGCAGTCACTGTCATGACAGTCATTCACGACGGCCGATGTATTATCTGAGGCTCCTACTATCATTATTCTAGGTAAATTCCAATGCTTTCCGAACCGCAGGTATATTCTACTTGTTGTGAAAGTGAACCTTGTCTACCATGATAGCTCCAGAAAAAATCATCAGCACAGAAGTGCTGGCCGCTGCCAGGAGCACTCTTCGATTTTCCCACATGCATGGAACTGTTTTAGGCCTACAATGGGGATGGTGAAAACACTTCGTCATGATGGTGCCTTTCTTGCTGAAGGTCAGTCCAGCCGCCGTCTTTTTGTCTATGTAGTGTTTTTACATGAACAATGCCAGTTGCTGCATATATAGTTCTTCCAGATGGTGGGACTTGAATTCAAGCTTACAAAAAGCCGTACGTTCGGCGCCCATGCTTCCGTTCAAGCGGCTTGTTGATTCGCATAATTCAATCCGGGATGGAAATCAGTCCTGGTTGCAAAAATGATCTCCCCAGTTTTGTTGAAAAACGCATGATCAACGACTTCCAATGATACAAAAGATGGTCCTGGTAGGCTAGCTGAACAATTAATCGGGCTCGAGCTCGATTACCGAGCATGTTGTAGGAGTATGTGACGAAGGCAGACTCATGAAGTTGAGGCATCCTAGACGCTCTTTCAAGAAGATCACTGATATTATTAAAACATAGCAAGGTCACATTTACTTTATCTGAATCATCATGTATCTCCACTCGCGTCGTGAATGCCAGAAATATTACGTTTTACTTACCGCCCTCCAGAAGCATTCCTAGGACTACCCGCTCTTCTGCGAGGAGGAAGCTCTGGAGTCGTAGACGGCCTACGAGAACTCGCATTACCACCCTCCGTTCCAAGGTTGAGCTCAAAATCCAATTTCCTAGCCATTTCCCTGTCCATCTCCTCCATCTGCCTCCTACGCTCCTCCTCATGCGCCTGCTCACGACGGGCAAGGTCACTGTCCAATTCTTCTTGCCGTCGCCGTTCCTCAGCAGCCCTGTACTCTCGCTCGCTTTCTTCCTGCGCACGCCGTGCAAAGGCAAGATCTGCTTCTTCCTGCTTGCGACGCTCGGCTTCTTCCGCTTCAAATTGAGCACGAGCAAAAGCAGCGTCGGCAGCCTCCTGATCAGCGCGCGCCTTGATGCGAGCAAGCTCAGCTTGCCACCTTCGTTCAGCTTCTTCCTCTTCTGCACGCTTGAGACGAGCCTCTTCTTCCCGTTTGTGACGGGCCTCTTCTTCTGCACGCTTCCGACGAGCCTCCTCTTCCTGTTTGCGACGAATCTCTTCTGCACGCTTTCGACGAGCCTCTTCTTCCTGTTTGCGACGAATCTCTTCTTCCCTTTTGCGACGTGCTTCCTCCTCTCGCCTGTTCCGCTCCTCTTCATGCCTCCGACGCGATTCCTCTTCGCGTTTCCGACGCTCCTCTTCGTCCCTTTGACGCGCATCCTCCTCGCGTCTTATCCGGTCCTCTTCTTCTTGTTTACGTCTGGCTTCTTCTGCCTTGCGCAGTTCTTCCTCGGCTCTCCTACGTGCCTCCTCTCGTTTGAGTCTTTCTTCTTCCTCCAGTTTGAGTCTCTCTTCCTCCTCTCGTTTGACTTTCTCTTCCTCCTCTCGTCGCCGTCGTTCTTCCTCCTCTAGTTTCAGTCTCTCTTCCTGTTGTTGTTTCAGTTTCTCTTCCTCTTCTCGTCGCCGTTGTTCTTCCTCCTCTCGTTTCACCCTCTCTTCCCCCTCTCGTCGCCGTTGCTCTTCTTCTCTCTGTCTCTGCTCCGCCTCCCATTTCAATCGTTCTTCCTCACCTCGTTTTTGTTCCTCAACATCCTTCCATCTCGGTTCTTCATCCTCCTGTGGCCTGCTCTCTTCTTCAGCAGCTTGAGGTTGTGCTTCCTCTTCCTCGTGCTTCTGTGAGTCTACCTCCTCAACAGCCTTCCGTTCACCCACCACCTTCCGTTGTCCTTCATCCTGGGTGCGTTCCTCTTCGCGCTTCTTTTGGTCTTCTGGGACTTTAGGTATGGAAGAAGAGGCAGG